CCCCGCCTGCTCTTGTTGCGGGCCTGCAAGGATCCTCAAAGCCTTCTCCGCCGCCTCACCGCCCCGTTCCAACGCCGCCAACCCCCGCTACCCCCCCAGCTCGATGCACTCGCGGAGGAGCGCCGCGCGCTGATGGCACGTGCAGCAGCAGCGCAGACCGTCGTGAGCCATGCAGAGGCGCTGCTAGACCTCGCTAACGTGCTGCATACCGCCAGCGGCACCGCCCACAGCCGCAGCGATGTTGACAGCGGCGGCTCTCAAGGCAGCACATGCAGTGCCACGGCCCACGGCGCGGACGGCGCGGACGGCGGCCCCGGCGCGGCTCGCGCGGCCGAGGCGGCGTCGCGCGAGGTCGAGCGGTGGCAGGGGCAGCTGGCCGTGCTGCAGGAGCAGCTGCACGCCGGCGCCGGCAGCGGCGACGGCGGCGGGGGCGCGACTGACAGCGGGCAGTCGCCGTCCTCCGGCTTGGGCGAGGGCGACGGCCATCAGGCGCCGCCTCCTCCTCTTGCGCCCGCTGGGACGTCGCGCGACGTCCACTGGTGGCCGGCCGACATCCCGGTGATGCGTGGCAGCCATAGCCTGACGCTGGAGGGGTTCAGGGGCGCGGCGCTGGACGCGCTGCGCCACTTTGGCTGCCTTCTCCCGTGAGTTGGGGGCCCTCCCGAGGCGCTTGCAGGCCCCATGGTTGCAGGGGCGCCTCCAAGGCGCGACACACCTGCCCAGCGCAAGTGCCACCTGAGCAGCCAGGAACGAATCACCTCAGCAGGACACACAGTTCCGTTCTTATCAATGTGTGTGAGCGCATGCTTGCCCACGCGTTCGCGCTTGATGACCCACCCGCGCGCAGGCGCACCCGCACGCGTGCGCCCGACGCGGAGGCGGCCCTGCGGCGGCTGCGGGAGGTGCGCTCGCGGCTGCTCGGCTTCTACGCCCTGCTGACCCTTGAGAACCCGGCAGTGCTGGGCCAGGTATTGCTGGCGCCGATCGAGGCTGGCGCCCCGAGGCTGGGGGACGGGCCGGAGGCGCCCCTGGAGCACTGGGTGCACGCGGCCAGGCAGATGGCGCTGACGCGCGAGCAGGTGGGCGGCGCCTGCAAGGCCTGGCGTCACAATCAGGGCGGACACGTTATCCAAGACACTCGCCTGGACCCTGGAGGCCCTCGGGGCCGCTGCCTTATGTTTTTTTCGGAGATTAATGTACACAAAAAAAGAATAGTACAAGCAGCGGCAGCACGGGGCCCCACCATCCCAGCATGCGGGTCCCCGCC